GGCCCCACCTCAAAACCAATGGGTTTTTGCTAGTATAAAGTATTCATAACGTTATGATCATACCGTACTGGATTTTGAGGTTCAAACAAAATCAGCGCATATGTTATAGATTTGATTATTGGACATGCAAACAAAGCGAACATTCTGCTTCAGGGTTCAAATGAAGGAATTATTGATCGTTAAAAATAGAGTTGTATTTTTAAAATAATGCGGATCACGTTACATTTTAAGAAAATTCTTTTGCTTTTAACGTCCAGCTTCAAGAATAAGGGAAAAAAATTATAAATAAGCATGTCAAATTTTTGTAAAATTCAAATAAAATTCTTTAATAAACAATATTTAAAATCATCACCATAAACCTTGTTGATATACAACTTTAAAATACAAAACTTGAAATCAAAATAAAATCTTTTTCAATAATTTCACCAAATAATTCCACTTATCATTATATAAACATAGTTATTCTCTCAAAAAATATTTAACAAAAATGCTTACTTTATCACTGAATTTATTTGTGGCTTATTAATCTGATTTTTCCTTGTATTTTTCCTCATTATAAAATCACAACCAGCCCTGTAATATAAATCAAAATAATTAACGAAATAAAGCCTGGGGAAAGGAGTTTCTACTATTAAAAACTTCTATCAACGAAAAACAAATTCTAGAAGAAAAATGATAGAAGAGATTCAGGGATGGGCCAACAAAGAAAAGAAGAAAGAGATAATGGCTTTGTGTTCGAGTATTTCCTCCCATGCAAGTCACATAAAAAACGCACGAAAAATTCAAATTAGCCAATCAAAATTTTGCATCTCAAGTAATGTTGGTTTCTAAACTATAGAGTTTCGTAATTGTGCGAAAGTCAAAAGATTTCATCGTAGGTCGAAACTAGCTTTCAATTATAAGTAAAAAATTTTAGCATATACACACTACACAAGTATTTTCTGCCACAGAGCACGCGCTAACCAAATTTGAAAGTCATTTCAAAATAATTTAAATTTGTGGGCGGATTTGATTAATATTAATATTAAATCCTTTATTCCGTGCAAAGATTAATTGTATCTAACAAACCATTATTTAAAATGACAATTCAATTCAGCACGGTGTATCACGTTACTCAAAATCGACCAATAAAACTTATCGAAGCTTTGTACATATGTAAACTCAATAAGTCGGTCATGTGGGGGTGAGCTCATATGACCGACTTATCGAGTAAACCAACTTATCGAGTGACTGACTTATCGAGTTTACATATGTACAGAAAATTAATTCGTGTATATAGTGCCGATCATCTAAAGACATCACAAAATGTTGCCAATCTTTAAATGCTGATACTTTACTAAATATGTGTTATTTCACCAAAAATCTCTATTTTTGAAATCTTTTAGTCATGAAAAATAATGTAATAGAGAGTTTTTTTTGAGTCATTTAGTAAAAAAAAACTTATAATGGCTTAAAGTTATGTAACTTTACTATAATTTCGGCAACCATCTAAACCGTGATTTACCGATTATTCACGTGACAAATTCACAGATCATTTACAAATTCGGATTTAAAATTTTATTTATAAAGTCATTGCTTCCATATCTATTAATACAGATTCAGGAGCTCTCCTATAGTGCCAACCATCTGAAGACATCACAAAATGTTGCTAATCTTTAAATGCTGATACTTTATTAAATACAGGCTATTTTATCAAAACCCTCTATTTTGCAATATTCTAGCCATGAAAAATAATGTAATAGAAAGTTTTTTTTGAATTATTTAGTAAAAAAAAAGTTATAATGGTTTAAAGTTGAGTACTTTACTATGTTATTTGAAATTTTGGCGACTATATATCTAATATATATTCACGTGATAAAGTCGTAGATCTTACAAATTTGGATTTATTTTATATATATTGAGCTCTTTATAAAGCAAGATCAGCATAAAAATTTTCAGCAAGTGGCGCAGCACGTGATGTCTTTAGATGATTCGCACCATATTCGTAATTATTTCAAATGCTTGTAATCATTTAAATTACATATGTTTATTTTGAACGCTCATAATTATTTCAAACATTTATTTGTAATTTTGATAAATTTTGTAAAATTACTAAATTATATTTACTATTAATATAAAAGAAAAAACTCATATTCCATTTGGATTTTGAGAAGACACTTTTACTTGAACTTGGCACGTTCTTACACCTCCATCATTACAAAGTGTTGCCAAATGAAGCTCTACCTTTCTTATCATATTTTTTTGGCTGGTGATTGATGATAATGGTTGTCATAAACAAGGGACAATGATCTTTGGTGTTAACAGAAAAAAAACATAATATATAATAATATGAAGAATTATATCCAAAATTGGTCAAGTGTTGAATATCCCTCTATTTTGTAAAAGTCATGCCTCGTTTTTAGTATTATCACTTGAAAAAAGAAAATAAAGGGTTTAATCTTTTATATTCATCTATAACATTTTTTATCCAACCTTCAAGCAAACGAAAGAATATCTAGCAAATCACAAGGAGTTCTACTCATCGTCACATAGATTTGTCCTGGTGCAATCCTATCGCCAAAGTCACATGTGACAGTGCCAGTGAATGGATTATTTTTCATGATGGAGTAATTTTGTTGTTCTTCCCTTTACAAGGAGAGCAATTAACAGGTCATGCAATTAGGATCTTCAATTAACCTAATCCAAAGTATATACAATAAAAAATCATTGTGAGGGTGCAACAGAGGCACATCCAACCTACACTTCCTGGTCATAAATATAGGGACACTTGCAGATCATCAGAAATAATAAACATGAAAAAAAAATAAAAAATTTATTATCCTAACCACATTTGCTTATTAAGTAAAAATTCATCTCCATATCAAATAGTATGATATAATGAAGTTTCGCCACATATAAATAAACATTTGTTGTTTTACGAACCTTAAAAAATAAAAATGAATTTTTCGGAATTTTTAAAAAAATCTTCGCCTCGAAAATTGACTGCAATGCCAAGTTCTAACGACCTTTGTGGTATAAGTAAAAAATGCGTCTTATTATTATGTTTAAACCTAGTTACTTCTAAAATTCTAGATCATTTGGTAAATTAATTGCCAAGATGTCATATAAAATTCTCAAACAAAAAAAATCCCATTTTATTTTTTTAAAGAGAACTTAAAAAATGCCCAAAGCTATTCAATTATCTGAATTCAAACATGGAGAAATTGTTGGCTTAAAAAAAGCCAATTTTTCTTATAGAGAAATAGCTTGTATATTAAATAGATCCAAAAGTGCAGTCAAAAAGATTGCTAATGATTATTTTTCAAAAAATAAAACAACTGCAGCTCTTAGACCTGGCAGACCTAAAAAGTTATCAGAGCATGATGAAAGACAACTTATGAAAGCAGTAAAAAAGGATACTAAACAAATGCTTTTAAATTAGTCAAGAGTCAAACATTATAGCAAGTGAGAAGACTATCAGACAAACATTACATTCTAAAAATGTTTATGGAAGAAAAGACCTCTTGTTTCTGATGTAAATAGGAAAAAAAGGTTATACTGGTGTCATGCAAGAAAAAATTGGAGTAGTAATGAATGGGATAAAATAATATTTAGTGATTTGAATTGTTTCAAAAAGATTCAAATGATTGGGTCTGGAGGAAGCCAGGGGGAAAATATAATAAAGAAAAATTAAGTCCAACAGTAAAAAAATCTGATGGAATTATGGTTTGGTGATGTTTTACAAGAGAAAAAATGGGTCCATTAGCATTAGTTGAAGGTAAATTAAATGCAATTGGTTATAATAAACTTCTTGCAGAAAATTTACTATCTTATATTAATGAATTAAGGAGAAGAATCATGGTGGTGATGGTGGTGATGATGGTGATGATGGTCGTGGTTGTAGTTGTGTGTTTACTTTTCAAGAAGATAATGCACCATGTCATAGCAAATCAATAGAAAGAGGAAAATCATATTATGGTTCTCCCTTGGCATGCTCAAAGTCCAGATCTCAATCCTATCGAAAATTTATGGCAGGGTTTAAAAAGAAGACTTGGAATGAGAAACCCAAAACCAAAAAATAAGACAGAACTATTCAATTTATTAAAAGAGGAATGGTTTAACACTATCTCAAGAAAGAATTAATAGATTAATAGATAGTATGCCACAAAGAGTGGATGCTGTTTTAAAAAGTAAAAGAAACCTGACAAGATAGTGATTTTTTTTAATAAAATACAATCAATTTAAAACAGTTTCATATATTTTTTGATGTCTTTTATGTTTCAAATTGGTAAGCAGTTTGAGGTTGAATTGTTTCATAAAATTTTCTATGTTTTATTTTTTTTCTCGTTAATTAATTTACCAAATGATCTAGAATTTTAGAAGTAACTAGATTTAAACATAAGACGCATTTTTTACTTATACCACAAAGGTCGTTAGAACTTGCCAATGCAGTCGATTTTCAAGGCGAAGATTTTTTTAAATATTCCGAAAAATTCATTTTTATTTTTTAAGGTTCGTAAAACAACAAATATTTATTTATATGTGGCGAAACTTCATTATATCATACTATTTGATATGGAGATGAATTTTTACTTAATAAGCAAATGTGGTTAGGATAATAATTTTTTTATTTTTTTCATATTTCTTTATTCCAATTATTTCTGATGATCTGCAAGTGTCCTTATTAGTATGAAAATCATTCCTTTTATGAAATGTGATTTTTGACAATTTTTTAGTTCAAATCTATTTCTTTTTTTTTTTGTTAAAATGCCTAAACAGAATAAAAGAAATCAGCATTTACAAAAAGCTTGTGAAACTAAAAAAATGAAAGAACTATTAAACCCATTACAGATGAATATATTGATAAGGAGATGTTTGAAAATGAATCTCAGATTGGCACAAGCATTTTGAATGAATTATATGTAATGAACCTGGATTAGAATCGAAGAGTCAATCTATGAATACATTGAATCTGGTGATGACTGGAGAGATTTATCTTTAACTACAGAATTAGAATCTTGGGAAGGTTTACAACAGTGTATAAAATTCAATGTGTGGAATGTGCGGGTGTAACATCGTACATTAGCAGTTGTCTGCAGATAGTTTCTAAATTTGTAGAAATTTGCATTAGTTACACACTGAAATTTACACACTGGTTTACAACAAACTGTGCCATTGGCTCTTAATTCTATTTCTCTCTGTAAAATTCGTAAATTGCAAGAAGATGTTATAGGTTTATGAGTGCCTATAGGATGGGGCTTTCTGGAAAGCTGCTATTTTTGCAGTTAAAAAGTATCACTCTCATAGAAGAGCTCCTGAATCTGTTTTAGTGGAATTTCATGAGTCATAAGTATCAAATGATACTTCTTTATATCGTGAAAATATTCTTTAAATAGAGTAATGATCAGTGGTGAAATTTTTTTTTAATAGTAAAAATGACAAACTTTAAACCATTATAACTCTTTTCATTTTGATAAAATTTAAAAAACTATTGCATCTTTCCTTATGTCATATAGAATAAACTATAGAGTTTTTTTTTTAATCTTGCATGGTCATTGAGCTTATATATTTTAAAGTTTACCCAAAATTTTTGATGTCTTTAGATGATAAGCACCATACCATAAAAAAAAATCTGCATATATGGATTTACATTATGACATTAATTAGATTTGTTAATCAACTTATATTGAATACCCCATTTGGTGTCGGTAATATAGTCTGCAGGAAATTCCTAATTAGGTAGCAGGGTTTGCACACGCAGACACAAATTATGATAAGGATTTAAGTAAGTTAAAATCGTGGAACTTTAATTTATTCCAAGGGCAATTCAGATAAATATTTAAACGGACACACACATAACATTGGTAAGTTACAGTGAAGCAAAAAAAAAAAATGTTAATCTTTTAAAATGAACTTTTTTAACTATTAATATGAGTAAAAAAAAAGAAGAAAAAACTCAGATAATCAATTAATGATTTTCCTAATTCACTATTTAAAATAAAAAAATTGGAAAACCATATTCTTTAAACCCCTCCAAACAATGTAATTTATTCTTTTTATTGATCTCATTTTATATTTTATTGCATAATTAATATCTTATTGAAAAATAGTAACTATTAAAAAAGTTAAAAAACAGAGAGACTCACTGCATCAAAATTTTTATCTGGGGTGAATCTGGCGATTTTCTCTTGTAATTCGATCTTTTTGAGGTGTGAAATATTTAGGTCTAGATCTATAATCTTCTGCTAGTGATGTAACTATACATGAAGTTGAAACTATTTTGACCATTTGCAGATCTGGTCGAAATAGGGTCAAAATAAGGTCGAAACTGATTTTTACTATGTAGTTGCCTCAAGTCAAAACATTTCGACTTTGGGGTTTTAATTTCGACTTCATGTATAGATGTAACATGTTCCTGAAAATACATTGAGCAATACTTTAGGATAGTAAAAAATATATATCATAAAATCTAAAAACAAAAAAACTTATAAACATTCTCCATACCTGTAATGCTATTAGGTGTGTTAAAGTAGGAGACAATGACATAACTGATGGTTTATCAATTGGTAAAATGGATTTCATAAAAGGGAACACTCTGTATACACCATCCACATCCAAATCCATTATGAAAGATTCAATGTATACACCTAGATTATTAAATAACTGTCAATTCAGTGAAAATTTTATAAATAATCTTATGATATGGACATTCACCTACCCATATTTAATAAAAACAATGATGTGCAAGGCCCATCCCTTCGATCAATTAACCCATCAATTGTTTTTTTTGCACATAAACAAGCTTTTATGAAATCCTTTGTTTTCTGAAATTGGGTATATCTTAATGGTTTTACTTCTGTGTTTAAGATCGAAAAATCATCAATATGGCATGAAAAATTGGACGTTTTGTTGAATTACCAAGTGTTTTATTGAGTTTGATGCTTATGTATAGTATCAAAAATAGGTTTCAGAATAGGATTAAAAAACTCGAACCTATGCTCATCTTCAGAATTTTTGAAGGGGCCAATCAAAGGCAAATCATTGCATCTAAAATGTTAAAAAAAAAAAAAAAAATCAAACATTAACCTATTTAATTTTTAGTAATCATAACAAAGATATTGAAGAAAAAGTTAACTTACATGTAATCAAATATTTTTTGAGAACTTTTTTGATTTTTTTTGACCTGTTATCATCATTTGGTTGACTCACCGGGTTAAAATTTGATTCCAGACCAATACTAATATTGTACAATGCATCATTTAAACAAGTAATTAGATCTTTTTCTAGAATTGGTCCATTGACTTTATAGGGATTGCTGTTATAAATTTTTGTACATTTTTCAATCTCAAAACAATCATATGGGCATTGTTCATCTATTATCATAATTGAAAAGGACAACATATTCAAAAAGTGATTTACTTATTTACTTACAGAACCAATTACTTCATCTACAGATAATTCTTCTTGATATCTTTCTTTCTGGATCTGTACAATTTAAAAAGATTATATATAAGTAAGTTATATTTAAAATAAAACTAAAGTGATGACAAGTGGCAACAACCACCATTCTTACAATAAACACTTATCCAGAAACTTCTACCTGTTCATTTTCTTGTTTTCAAGAAAGAATTAATTGACGATCTGTGAATAAATCGGAGAGTCTTACATAATGATCAGTGGAGGAAAATTGACACAAAAATGACCAATTGAGTACTTTTGCATGAAAAATTGTACTATACTTTTGTTCCACTACATAAATTTTTTTTTAGCATGCAGATAAAACATAACTCAGAAAACATATTAATATATTTTATTTTACCTTTACTTAAGCAAAGAAAAAAGTTTACTCTTTAGCACTCGTGGATTGTTGGAAATTTTTATATAGAAAATTTTGTTTTTTATGTGTAATGTTCGTTTTTAGTTTTATTATTATTGAATCTTAATTGCATTTACAATAATAAAAAATTCTTTTTTTTCTATATACAGTTCACTCTATAATAGACCATTTGACTTAGTATTAGTATTAGTATTAATATAACTAGGAAAAAATGTTTATTATAGATAATCCGTTATCAGCAATAATAATTTATATATTAATATATTAATTTTGGACATATAGATCAGGCTTAATATTAATATCAATATTCTCAGTATGTTACAGAGGATCCATTATTATTAGAGAGTGTGAGTGGACTCTATAATAAATATTCTTAAAGGTAAAGGTTTAATGAATTCAAAAGTCATGGATTATCAATTAATTTATTGTTAAAAACATTATACATGTGAAGTTAATATTAATATTATTTTTTTTTACATTAATTATCCATATTAGTATTCTTAACTGCTTGTTTTTTATGATTTTGATTAAATAAATATCCATTATTTGATTTGTTGGAGAGAAGGGATTTTTCAATTATGTTTAAATCAAGCCTTTTTACCACCACTTTTTTCCCAAATTTGTTTACTTTTTAAAGCAAATCGTGGTATGAATTTTTCATACAATAAATTTAAGTCATTATCATCTATTGACAATGATATCTATTGGTTCAAAATTAGTAATGGGTTTGATAATGATTATAAAAGTTTTATTTTTATTGTGTAATGGACATTTGTAGATTTTTATTTTTTGAAAATTTTATATAAATTTCCTCCGTATTTTTATCAACATTTCTCTGATTTATAGACGGATCGTCAATTAAATTTGTTGTTTGATCGACAAACACGTACACATTAATTCACAAATCGCCAGAAATGGAAAGAAAATACATATTGCAGATCGGGGCAAAATTTCCTTATTTATACATAAAAATTTTTCATCACATAACTTTACGTCCCATATATCCATAATAAAAAATATTACAGTGCGTAACATCATAAGCCATCACATAAAAACAGACTAATTTTAAAACCTAAAAAGGAAATACTGAATGGTTATCTCAAAAAAATAAAGACGATATTTTATAGCTTTTGACCAGCTCTACAATCTATCGTCGAGATAATAAAAAAAAATTGCTTGGTTCAGGAGCCTTAAGCTTTTAAAAATCATGTGATTTTTATATGTTACATATAAAATTTTCCAAATTTGATACATATAGTTTTGGCCCGAATTATTCTGCGCATTCCTAAATTTTCTAATTTTGGTAAAATCACGTGTTACACAAAATTAATGAGAAACGCGTTCTAATTCAGTGCAATTCTTTTTAATTATTTTGTGAAATAAAATGCCAAAACCTAAAAGAAAAATTAGGATGTGCAAAGAATTAGCAGCAGCAAAAAAGAAAAAAAAGATAATGAAGAAGATTCTACAGTCCTTGAAATTTTTGAAAGTGCAGAGGAAAATGAAGAAAGCTCTACAGTTCTTGAAACCTTTAAAAATGCAGAGTAAAATACAAATGTTGAAGAAGAATCTGCAGATGATGAAATTGAAGAAGGTCATATTTTCTTTGAAGATACTGAGGATATAGGAAATGAATATGGAGGGGAATTTGCAAATGTTGAAGATGAAGGTTTTTTGTGGTTTGACAGTGAAATAAATAAAAATGCTGACACAATCTATGACATTTTATCAAAAAACATTGAAATTTAATTTCATCTAATAGACCTTCAAAGTATACAGGGAATTCAAGAATGACAATATACAGAAGAAAAAATAAAG